CGGACCGGCCGGCCGTCAATTAACGAACCGGCCACAGCAAGAATGGCAACCCGTCAGCGAGGTTGGCGCGCCAAGCATGACCTCAATTCCCAGGGAGAAAGAGGAGGAAGAGCTGAATTGAGGGATAGGCGAGGTAACTTGGCTCCGAACTCAACTACTACTAATCATCTTTCTTACTAACGTAGGTAGGTAGATAGGTTTAGGAAGGAAGGAAATTCCCCAAAATCGTCATAGGATGGAGACTGACTGACGGATTGGATGGAAGAAAGGCCTGATGTCTCGAAGCTGTCGCAGAAATTTCCGCAAAAGTAATAAAAAATCTTAAGACACGCGCCGATGGCCCCGAGCCACGTTTTTTCTGGCATGGTGGTGGTGGTGGTGCTGCTAGGCTGGGTGGTGGTCGGGATTTGGATCCCTGGCTAGACTGTGGGGGAATTCGCAGGTGGCTAGCTATATTACTGATTACTATAACCGGGCTAGTGACTATTAGGGATGGGTGTACCTGGTCTAGTTGCATAGTCTGAGGGGAGTGGAAAAGGCGGGATGAAAGGGGGAAGACTACATAATGGTAATATCCATGAACAAGGCTGGCGATGTAATTACTTACTACTAGTATCGGTATCAAGTGGTGGTCACGGTGTAAAGAGAGAAAAGAATTGGATCGAAGTACTTGGCACTTGCGCTGGAAGGAGTAAGTACTGTGTGAGTAGATGGTGATGGTCCACTTTGTTCTCCTCCTCCTCCACTCATCGACCCAAAAGCGTGGCTGACAAGGCGTTCAGCAATGCAGTTTTAGTTAAGAATCAACGTGTGGGCTGCCATGGAATGAGCCGGCAGGAGAAACCAGCAAGTCATGTTGATAGCATGAAGGGAGGGAAATTATTCGAAATGGAAGGTCGACTGGAAGATTAAAATTACATAAAAAAGAATGAAAGAAAAGAAGAAGGGAAAAAGGCTGAAAGAAAAAGAAAATAAGTTTTGACAAGCAAGGGGGAGTGGCTTGGTGCCTAGAAAGAGATCTAGAAGCTTGCTCAAAGCATCTAGGGACGAAAAGACTGTGCGACCGTCTACTACGTAAGTAGATACTGCCTTCATCGGAATGGGGTGCATGCAGACGGGCAAAAGCAATAACACCGCTACCATAGAATGACGACTGAAGCTGAAGGCGATATTGGTTGCGGTGTGAGAAGCGGCATGAATAGGTCAAAGAGCAAGCGACTAAGAGCAGAACTAGTCCTGCTGAATACTGGGTCCTTTCTTCCATGTGCGCGCGGCTGGGGTCCCTTCATACTAGTAGTAGTACTCCGTTAGTAGGGGGTGGGAACATTTTTTTTTTGGAAAATTAATTCGACGATTTGTGATGTGTTTAAAGGATAGCGCTAAATTCGTAGGGGTATCGTTGACTAGATAGATACCATCTATGGGGATCAACACTGCATTCACTCGAAAGCCACTAATTTCCATGGCTTCGTGGTTAGCAGCGACAAGCGGATGGGCCACCAGGACTTCTCACTGGACATCCGGACAACCTCAGTCAGACTACGCCGGAGTTGGTCAAGCCAGGTTACCCCTAGCCATTTTGCGGTCAATTGTGAGGATGAGCCACATGGTTTGGAAAAATGGTCGACATGCTAAATTAAAATTAATCTAACATCTACCGAGGGGGGCACTGCATGGATTGATGCCAAGGAATAGCATGATTGTTGGATTATTGCCGAGCTCTGAACAGACCAGTTTGATACTAGTAGATTCATGGATGGGATGATGACTACGTAGTTTTAAAATTACCACGGAGTTATTTAGGGGAACATGGCAGGGTCGGACCCGAGATGAGGAGGAGGAGGAGGAGATGGCGAGGAATGGCGGGCGATGGAGACTCTCAAGAAGATGGCCATGGCTGATCGACATCCATGATCCATCAGCCGTAACTCAAAAGCCCCCATTCCAGGTTGGTGCCCACAGACAATGGGCTTTTCCAATCAAGACAGCCTGAGCGTGTGTTACCATCCTCATCTGGGTGTGCATCAAGCAAGCCTGAGCTCCTGATTAACCCTTTCCCTGAGGTTGTGAAACAGAGGACACACTTCTGACACCAGCAGGTGCCCTAGTCTAGCGTCGCCCTCATCCTGCAGGGCCAACTAAGACGGCAAGACGGCCAGAAAGAAAAGTGATGAGAAAAGAAAATAAAATAGCAAAAAAAGAAAACCACGACAGGTCACGTCGCCAACCCTATGACCAGTCATTCCTCATCCCTCTAATAGGTATGCTGATGATATTATTCCGGCTGATCCTCAAAGAGCAGTGCACAGTCAAGGGATGGTGTGGGGGTTCGGGTCTATTGTACCTGCTACTTACTGTGTCATGTATTATTATGCTACTGTATCCTCGCCTTTTGGTTGCCTCGTCTCTGGGGCACGGACGGTGTACTGGTCCTGATCCTCCCATCCCTGATTCTATTGCTGGGATCAATGTCCCGGTGGATGAGGTCGAGTCAGTCCACTACAGCTTACAGGATCGATCGCATGACGAAGCGCGTTGCATTGTGTGTGTGTGTGTGTGTGTGTGTGTGTGTGTGTGTGTGTGTGCGCGCGCCAGTCCCGCTGTGCCAAAGAAGGCATCCCCCGATCGGAATGGCTGGTAGGGGTCAAGAGCTAAGGAAGACTAGTGAGCGGTTGATGGCTTTGCCAAAGCGTACCGGCCAGTCAGTATCCCGGTAGACAGTATCCCGTGGGATCTCCATCCTGCGTTTATTACCTAAAGCTGTGCCAAAGATAGCGGCTAACTACTACGTAGTAGTGTTGTCGACCTTCAGGAATGAATAAATGCCCCCAGCTAGTCTAGTCTATTAGTGCAGCATCGTCAAAGGGTGACTGACAGAACTGGTTTTTCTCCGCATCGAACCATCCACGCAGAAACGAATGGTTTGGGTCGTGACCCGTTTTAATGGGTGGAGGGTGGATGATCGTAGGAAAGACGTAAGTAAACAGCGCGGACAAGCGCTATCCGGAACTATTGCCATTAGTGGATCCCTCGTTGGATTTAGGTCCCATGTCCTGGGAGCGCCCGACCGATCGCCGTAATTGGAGATTTGCTAGAGCCTAGAGGAAATCATTCCGAAACTGATTATCATGGACCCCATTCTCATTCGCCAGACCAGCAGAAAAGGGCCTCTGGTTATCATTTCCCACTCTTGCTGGAGCGTCTCCAGACTCACTATCCCGGAGGTGGAAGGCAGCTAAGTCCAAACCTCGTAAACCCGATGAATGCCCTTCCCCCGATTTTCGGATGATTGCCAAGCCAGCGTGCTAGATGGAGTAGTGTGGCCTAGCAGTAAAAGTAGTAAGTCGGGTGGGTACCAGGCCATGTGTGCAACTAGTAGTTCGTTGATGTACGACGTAGGTACAGGCACCTGGAGAGAAGGGGAAGAAGGAGACTGGGGGAGGAAATATGTAGGTGTTCCCAGTATCCAGGTTGAGGGGATCGCAAGGAATCAATCAATAGGTCGAAGTATGTATCTACCTACCTAAATAGTTTAACCCGCAAAGATGGGGCATATATTGATGACAACACCTACCTACGCTCTGGAAAACGATCCCGTCACGATAGAACTCGACTGCATGATGATGATGTTGAGCCACCTGACATGTTTTTGTTTGGGGAGATTTGAAGTCATCCTCAGGCTCTGTAGCCCCCCGTAGTACTGGAAAATCACTCCCTCCCTTTTCCTTCATCCAATGAGAATCCTTTGAATGCGGTCCTTTTCCCCGGCCGATTGGCGCCCTTTTTGGGGATTGCCACCATTGACCAAATCGTATTTCTACACGAGCTCGAGGCGTGGCACAGTGCATCCTAGCCTATGCAGGATAACATATCTGGGAACCTATCATCAGATCAGTTCGGCTGCTGGCTATCCATTTCAGACAGACCTCAGGCTTCTGGCAATGCGCAACGTGCGTGGCCAACATGCCGTCGCCGCCGCCGCCGCCGCCCGGGAGGGACGGGCAAAAGTGGGCGCTTGGTTCCCTTTCTTCCTCTTCTTTCTTTTGCATATGTATAACTACGTAGTAACCCGTCAGTAGTAGGAGGGAGGGAATGGGAACGCCCCGTAGTAGTGGCGCATGCGGAAATGAATGAAGATGGAATTGCGGTCACTCATGCACCAAGTGCGTTGGGGGATTGTTGAAATGTTGGCACACGGGAATGGCCTATCTCTTCTGACTACTGACTACGGACTACTTCCTGTATAATCCGGTGCAGGGGGCAATACGGAGGGACACATAGCAGGAACTCCCCTCCCATTACTCGAATAGGCCACCTGCGTTAAGCGTGCAGAGGGGGGAAAAAGGCACCGTATCCTGTGCCCTGCATGGGATTCCGAATCCTGATTCCCGGATGGGAAATGCCACTGACATCTCTCCATGTTTTCTTCACACGCATGAAAGAGATTTAGAAACTGGCTGAGTTTAGGTTAGATAGTTATTGAATTTGTTTGATAATGAACGACAGTAGATATGATTTCTACTGTATACTTATCCCCCATTTTCAACACTTTATTTTCTTTTTTTGTCACTGACTGACATCCCTTCCGTCATGGCGTTAAATGGTACTTGGATCAGCCAGAAAACCCCCATGTAAATAGATTAGTACTGCGCCAGTGTGGTCTTCTCTCTACGGAGTACTCTCATTACTTACTGCACTCCATCCAGTCTGTGGTTTGGAACGGGAACCACACCTTCATTTAATTACAATGATCTACTATACAGTACCGGCTAGTACTAGTTGATACTAATGGTGGGGGTTTGGTAACAGCGACCGAACTCGTGTACTGCTTTTTTACTTACGTCGCCCCCCCGTTCTGGCCTGTTTGGTTCGACATTCTTGGGGAGGGGGCGGCGATGATCGTCTGTTAGATCCAGACGACCCTGTCATTGTGCGGCATTTCTTCTTCTGTCAAGGATAGCGCCACCTGCCGCGTCCACTGTTTCTGTTGACGCTTTCCTTTTGGATGCTAGTCTACAGTTCCAAATCTCTCTTTCTCTCTCCCTCCTCTCTCTCATCTCTCTCGGGGGATTTGAAGCAACTGATAACTGTAATATGTATGATGAAGGAATAATTACTAAGTACATCGTACATACTCATTGGTAACAGTAGTTGACTGGGTCGATAGTCATGCCCCGTTTGGTACCACTTTTGATACCATCTACTAGTTACTACTATTATCTGCTAGGACGATCCGCTCAGACAACAACCTACGAGATACTAGTAATCTAGCAGCATTTCCCCCCATCTCCTCCTTTTTCTCTCCTCCGACAACCCGCCTGTCTTGAACCCATTTCTTCCAATCACTATTCACATGGTGCCTGCCCGCGTTACCTAAACGGGGAAAACCCAACTTCCCGGACCGGAGCAAGACCTTCCACCGACCGACCTAACTAACTAACTAACCTAACTAACTAGCTGAGCTAGCCATGACCCAAACCACACTCTCTGGTCGCGTTCATTTCCTGGCCCAAGTCTACGGTACACCGTCCGTGGCGCTACTGGATGCATCTGGAGCCGGGCAAATCAACTTAGCGCGCTGTCTCTTCGGTTTTTATTTGTGCGAATCCCCTCTGTTGGCTCCTCTCTTTGGTCTCGCTCTCGCTCCATTTAGCCACACATAGCGGACATGCAACAAGGGCCACATTATCTACTATACTAGTACTAGTCCTCAAGAACGTGGGGACTTTCAGGATTGTGGAATACGGAGAACTAGGGAGTCCAGTGACTCAGATTCGGTGGGGAAAAAAGTAGGCACTGCCAGCCCAGAAGAATGGCACGGACACTGACTGGATCCTGGGACCGGACCCAGACCGGTCGGGTCGGTTTCGTTCCTCCCACTCGCCTTGGATACGAAGCAGTACGTCCACGTAGGAGAGAGAGAGAGAAACATGCCTGCTTAGTATGTCGAATCATCTGCCACGCAATCAATGCCATTCTCCTTTGCCTGTTAGGATGCAATTATTACTATTACCTACTTATGAATATCTTTCCAAGACATGATCGCTTGAATACCCAGTGACTAACGAACTCGATATTAAAGATGTGTCATTCTATGGGGTTTAATCAACTACTATCCGCTCTCACTCCAGTCTACCTTTTCTTTTTCTTCGCTCTCTCTAACCGAACCCGTCCCGGGGCGCTGGTTCGGAATACGAGGCTTCGTTACCCATCAGTAAGGGATGATGGCAACTAACTGGAAGCTGTAGGTATGGATTCGAGCTATATGCCTCCTAGTTCCATGCTGGGGCACCTTGGATTGGACACTACTGTAGAGTTAGCTGATGAATGCGCAGGATCCTAGACTGCCAACATAGCATAGCATATAGCTTGAGAGCCTGTCTGGAGTGCAGCAAGTGAACCTTTCATTCTTCTCTAGGGTTGCCTCCTGCTTTGGGTCGCTGATCATCAACTTAGCTGAACAGGACCTTCATCGGAGTTACCTGGATCAAGTAGACTTTTGTTACCAGTCACCGTGTCGTAGTAGTAGTAGTAGTAGTAGTACATGAGGTGCATCCTCACTTGACCATTGGCCCATGTATGCACCAGGCACCCAAGAGTTTGATCTTTCCCCCGGTGGCTCTTGCAGCTGCATGCAATACTATATGTATGGGTCCTCTCTCGGTAACCATTTGAGTTTCTGGGTATAGTAAGGGCTTCCTCGTCACAACCAAAATCCTGTCAGGCAGGCAGGCAGGCAGGCACGGCTTGTATGAAGCCAAGTCTGTCGCAGCTTCCTAGTAGCTCCTGTTACGGGATGGATTGACCATGCAAACGGAGGTCACTTCTCCAAGATCCCTCTTTACTCTCGTTCCTCATCTCTCAAAAAGCAAATTGATCATCCACCATCATGCGATATCCACTAACACACATAGTGCCTGAGGCTCGAGAGCAACCCAGCTTAGAGTTTCCTGGCACTGGGTCTGTCATTGTTGGCCCACCGCCTCCGGAGGAATAAATGTCAGCAAGCCAGCAAGCAAGCAAGTCACCACCATCACCACCGGCCTGTCAACGAGGGTTACCTGACGATCAAAATCCAATTCGTGCCGGGTAATCGAGGAATAGTGCGATCTTCTACTGTGGTAGAGCCTATTGTAAGACTAGTCTTGATGGATGCTTTTTTTTATTCCCCTCCCCCCGGTCTTCAGGGTGGAATTGAGTTTCGACAAGCACCCACCGGTGCGATCGTCTACTGCTCACCCACTTTGTCGGGACCTTACTATCGGACCAGTCCCTTACCACCCGGTCTGGAAGGACGATCTCCTACCACAATTGCACCTGCTGTTGACCCAAGATGAGCCGCAAAACCATGCTACTAACGGGAAAAAAGGCCCAAGAGTCGTGCTCGCGCGTCTGTCGGCGCTTCCGTGGGTGGACTCGCCGGGCAACAATAAGATAGCTCAGATTCACAGCCCCAGCAGTAGCAGCAGCATCAGTCACCTATGGCTTTTGGATCTGCTGGGGATCTCCCGCGAAAGTTTTGGCGACGGTCCAATATAAGCTCTAGGAACGGTGCCCCCCTGAATCCTGACAAAGTTACCGACAATTCCAGTCGATTCAACTCTAAACATTTTAGAGTTGGGCAGGGCTTTATTGGTTTTCTCCTAGCGACCTAGTCTGGCCCCTACTGCTGCTTTGGCCTGAGGGCTCTTCAGATGATCGCCGTCGTGTGGGACGCTTTCTTCCCTATTGTTCCGCTCTGATTTCCTTTTTTTTCTTTTTTTTTTTTTTTTTTTCTGATTAAAATTATTATTATTATTATTATTATCGTTATTATTTGCCCACCCCCTTCCCTGCACCCAGTCTCCACGCCCTTCGTATTCGAGCGTGCGTGGCATAGGCACGGTATATGTCATGGAGGACCAGGACTATTTGGGGCTTTGGGGGGGGGGGGGGAGGGGTGGCTTTTGTTTAGGAAGGGAAAGCTCCGCTTCTGCCTTCTTTCATCCCGATCGAGCATCCCCGGGGGATCCCTGCTGGCACATTGGAGCAAAGACTTTCTGCACGGATCCCGACGGAGCCTGACTGGAACCGTCGACCGGTCCAGTGGAAGACCTCGAATCTAGACATCGACGCTGCCTTGCTGACAGGCACGTTAAGTATTTTCTTTCCTTTTTATTTTGATTTAATTATATTTTTCATTTGATTATCATTATTTTTATTTCTATTATTTCTCTCCTCCTACCAGAAAGTCGATCAACTGGGCACTTGAACGTCAGCGGTTAGTCGGAACCGTGGAGCAGGGTTACTGAGCAGACGGCCATCTCCTTGAACTCCGGCCGCAGTAGCGGGAGCGACGGAGGAGCCGACGAGATGTGAGCGAAGCAGGCAGACTGGTACAGAGGAAAGTTGACGCGGCGCACAGTCCTCCTCTTGGGCATCTGGTCGTCATGCGGTTCCGTCTACTCGTCACAGGCCACCACGGGTTGCGCTGTCCTCTACTGGTTATGAATGTTCTATGGAAGCTGACGAAACCAGTGGTCTTTGGTCTTATTGTTGAGAGGGTTCTATTGGGTTGGAAATAGGTCACCGGTGCGGCCGGGATGGATCGTTGACGACTAAAGTGCGGGTATGATGATGGGCGGTGATGATGACAACCGAGGTCATCGATCATTTTCCCTCACTACTATCCATGTGTGTGCGCCATGTTTCTCTTTCTCTCGGCTCTTCCATTCTCCCCTTTTCTTTGTGTCTGCCCTCCCCTCATCCGGTAAGTGCTTGGTTTGAGCATGATATCAGTATCACCCCGTTTTAAGGATTTTATTGTGAGTGTGCGTTGTGGTGTAGGCTGGATATAATGACTACGAAGACTTAGATGATCAGAGCCCGAGGGAAGTGTCGGAAGAGGATAAGAGAGGGGAGGGGAGCTACTGTGAAAAGGCGCGCGCATATGGGCCGCAGAGCTCGGACCGCGTTTGCCAGATTGGGAGAGTCACGGAATCCAGCCGGAGGAGGCCCAAAGAGAGAGAGAGAGAGAGAGAGAGAGAGACAGAGACAGAAAGATGGGGGATGGAGCAGTTGCCGGGTCGAGCGCATACCCGATTCGATGTGTAGCAATTGGATGGGATGCAAGTTGCTGGGGCGTCCCAAATCTTCTCCAGACCCTCTTCTCACTCTCTGGGACCAATCCGAACGGGTGCCGCCTTGACGCCATGCAATAATCACCCGTCCTCTCACAACCCCCGAGATCTGAGCCCTGGGAAGAGGAGGCGGCCGTTTGATTGAGTTGTCCTTTTTTGTCTTTTTGGTTTTACTTTCTTGCCCTTCCTCCTTCCGTGAGCTAAGTTAGGTATGTTACTGGGATGATGGTGGTCGTACGGGTTTCAGGAACCTGATGTTTGATTTGGATGGGCTATGACGATAGATAGGGTAGTATTGGAGAGAGGGACGAAGTATGTATGGGTGTGTATGTAAGTAGTAGTTATGTAAGTAAGTGTGGTGGTTTGCTGGATGGGCTTACTAAAGATCGCCCACTAGGGAAATATTAGGTAAGTTAACTAGCTACTTAGTTAAATGGCAGCTGCTCGATGACGATGTGAGAATGGGTGATGATTTAATAGTGCAGCGAGAGGGAAACAAGACCATGGAGGAGAGGAACAAGAGGAAGAGAAACTGACTAACCCCGTATTGTTACTGAATTGACGGATTGGGGATAGGGCCGTCCACTACTCCGTATACCATTTTCATCTTACATTTTTCTTTTTTACTTTTTTTTTTTTTTTACTTGCTGTTCTCAGTATATTCGAATGTGTTATACTATGTAGTGGTTGTAGCATACCATGTTGAATATTGCTTGATTCTTAAGAACACTCCCAGTTACATATCTTACTACTTAGATACTGAGCACAAGAGCTGGTCGATCGACTCTGCCCGAAAAAGGCAAAAAGTGGATTCTTTTTAGATTTCTGGGCCTCCCCGATCCATGACTGACCGGTGCACATCAAATCAAATCAACTTACAATTTACTCTCTTTTCGTCAGGGGCGGAGCCGTGGTTGAAGTGACCGCATTTGCCCCACCCCTGCAGCCAACCCCTCAATCAGTTCCAGTTCAGTTCTTTTCAGTTGAATGGAGTTGTGGGAGTGTACTATGGGATTGATTTCATGGTTCTACTTTTCATATGATCAGGAGGAATCAAAAAGAAGGGATGAGAAACATAACATAGCAAAACATGATTGGGGGTTTCCCATATGACGTTTTTGCCAATTGGCTGTTATGTAGACCTCTACTAGTAGTAACAGAAAAAGAATGCGGAGAATGGCAGACGACCCGATAAGATTCCTCAACCATCGACCATCATGTAGAAATCAAGCAATCAATCAATCGGTCAGTTAGTCGGTTAGTCAATCAATCGCTCGCAACATTCCTGAGTGAGTCCTCTCTCCCCTCTCCTCTCTCCGCTATAGGATGATGACCCGGTGGATATCTTGACAACAAAACTTCATCCCTCCTTCCTTTAGTTATCGAGGCGGTGGGATGGCATGGGATGGTCATCCCGACCGTGCACGGTAGTCATTGAGCCGCCAGGAATACACGCTCGGATGTAGTTAGTTGGTTAGTTAGGTAGTTAGTAGTAGCTCTGATCCCTCATGGGGCGTCTGTCCTCCCGTCGAATTATTTCCCGCCTCCTGTGTTTCTTTCCCACTTCCCCCTCCCAAAAAGAGGTGTAGGTAATAGTAAGTACGTAGTAGGTCCAGGCGGCTCACGCCTAACTTGACACAGCCTCGCCCCCCCCCTCGTTGAATCCTTCCTCTCCCAACCGAAAATCCCTCCCGCACTAAGTAGATATATGATGGCATTAATATCCCTCGTTAATGGTGGTCTCCTCTCCCTCTCGTTCCTTCTCATGGGCTTATGGCGGGGGTGATAGTCGTGGAAACATGTCTGGTTATTGGTGAACTACTGCTTTCTTTACTAGCTAGTGGGTAGTGACTCCATACGATCTACCGTGATAAATCCAGGATTCGAGAGTAGTAGGAAGGATTACCAGCCAGGATGGCTTTTGTTATGTCCATAGCTAGCTTGCTGTTCGTTTCCCCCCTACGCGGCTCGCGCACGCTCGTTCGATTTACCCCGGCTTTGGCTGACATGCCTCCCCCTTCTACTACTCCTTCTAGCTAGTTTGGCTAGCTAACTTAGTTACCTACTTTACCTACCTGCCTACCTACCTAACATCGTACTTAAATTCACACTGGCGCATACTTAATTAGCCCGTATCCTTTCTCTCTATATCTATGGTCTATATCTGATCATCCCTCCCCTCTCCCTTCTCTCTCCCCTTTCCCACCACCCCCCAAGACTGACTTGCACTGCGCGTGTCCTTTACCCGAGTCTATCCGTCATTCCCATCTCCAATCCCAAACCCCCTCATCCGATAATAACCCGATAATTTCCAATCCCATGCCCCGTTTATCCATCCTTCAGGTACCTGCGATTCACCACACCGTCCTGGGGCGTCTGTCTCATCTTGGATTTCGTCTCGAATTGGCGGTCCCTTAGCGATCCCCCCGATCCACTCTCCCGTCCCCTCATTAACCTCCTTCCACCCACCCCTCTTTCATCAATTTTGACTTTCACTTGTTCTACCTAAATCTTAAAATCTTCCCCCCCTACTCTTCTCGTCTTGAATCTCGGATTGTTACATGACTTGTTCCCCACTACTGACTGTTTTCCCTGCATTGGCGTCTTTTGGAGGATCTTATCTTGGTCATCCTTACATTTCCCAAAGTTTACGAGTCTATCTGGAAGGGAAAGCAAGTGAAAGAGCCGCAAGTTAAACCGACGTTGACAACAACAACAGCAGAAGAAGAAGAAGAAGAAGAAGAAGAAGAAGAAGAAGAAGCAGCAGACAGTGGGATAAGAAGACGCAGTCCAAGTTGAGTTGATTGTGTGTGTGCAACAAGGCCGATAAAGTCAACGTCACTCCGCTGCCACGGCTAAAGGTTGGGACCTACTTTTAGTAGTTACCAGCAACCCAAAACCAAACCAACCCCAGCAAAGTGAAACGGGGTACCTGCTTCTCATCATCCCCGCCAGCGTGGATTCACACTTTCTTCAGTTACTACTCCTGGTAAGTCAGTTGCTCTCTCTTGTCTGTCGCTCCTTGGGAAGTATGTACCAGGATTGGATCAATACCACAATACCACACACACATACCCTGTGCCAACACATACATTCTCCTATCATGACTGTCCAGTGTTATGCCTATTTGTTGTTCTTTGCTGCGAGATTGATCTGTAGACATCCATGACTACTAAATGTGGTTTGGTGGTGGATGTTTGGATTATCTCAATTTCCCCCCTGTTCCTCCTTCGATCCTAGTTCCTCCCCAAGCCTATCTTGTGTCATACTCTTTTCTTATGCTTAACTAAAACTACCATTTGACTGGATCTGCAATTTGCATCGACTAGATTCCCCAGTGGATCTGTTGATATTCGTTCTGTATTTTATTTTCCTCTTCGTGTTTTGTTCTTTACCTTCTATATTTGTTTCCACTTCTATATCTCTTTTTGTTTTTATTTTATTTTTTTTTAGCCCCATACCCACACTAGCCCATTCTTACCGTCTGTCGTTCGATGTTGCCTCCCACCCCCAAGAAGAGTGTGAAGCAGGAGAGATGGGTGCGTGTGGTGTGGTGCGCATCTTTTGGGCGAAAAGGAATGAAAGATGGAGCCCGCCGATGGCCTCTGCCTCATGGCCGGAGAGATCCACCGGCGGCGGTGCTTCTGGCGGGCTTGTCCTGCTCCTTGGGATCATTAGTTGCACCCACACCCCATCCGTCCTTCCCAATTTCTGCCTCCTCCCTCTCCCTCTCTGGCACTGCTCGGGCCTACCAGTCTGGGTCGCCCCGCCTGCAGCCCGGTCGCTCTTCATGACGGAGGATGTTTTTTTTTTCTTCGCTGAACATGTCCTTCCCTCCGTCTGCCTGGCCGTTTGGCGTTCCCTGCAACCCGCACCATGCCCGGCTCTGGTCTAGTTGGACTGGCCATGGTAATTTTCCCTTCCCTTCCCTGGTTTTCCTGATCACCAGGAAGGGGGAGGGGGATGAGGGCCGCCTCTTTTCTATTCCTTATTTTCTTACCTACCTTCCCTGTCGGGTTTTTTGCTTCAAAAAAGGAAAAGAAAAAGATAGATAATTCTTCCTTATGTTTAATTGTCTCTTCGTGTTATTTTCGATGATTTTTTTTATCTCTATTTTTTCTCTCCCCGGACAACTCTTTCCCTTCCCTATCTTTTGGAAGGATAAGGTGTGAGAGTGAGAGGAAAGGGTAAAAAAACACGATGCTTTTTACAATACCATACATGGGTACCCTGCCAATGTTCTGGGAATTGGGATGATTTTTTGGCGTTATTTTTTTCGATTTTTTATTTTTTTGGCACTGCTGCTCTTCCCCCATACAACTATTCCATAATTTCCATTGGGATGGGATTGCATTCCTTTTTTTTTTTTTTTTTTTTATCTTTTTCGCTCTTATCTTATTTTTCCTAATTTTTTATTTTTCGTTCCCTTTTCCTCTTTTTTTCCTCTTTTTTTTTTTTTTTTTAATTTTCCCTCTTCACTTTTCTGATTTTTTTTTTTTCCCCTTCCCTTTTTTTTTTGTTTCCTAATTTATTATATACCTGATTTTCCCTTTTCTGATTTATTTCTATCTGCCTCTTTCCCCGTCTCGTTCCACGGATGTTTAAGGTCAACTATTGTCCCCTCTTGTCTTCCGAGTCCACCACACTCCTTCCCTTCAAGCATCCCCATTCACTTTGAAACATTCCTGGTCTCTACTTGCCTTTGGAAATTCATCGCACTTCGTTTCTCGCATGGCCCGGGTGGCTTTACGTGAAGCTCCAAAGTGGATAAATCGGCTTACATACCTGCTCCGAAACAGGCACCGAACAGCTCATACGGCGTAAGCTGAGCTGGTCTCCCTCTCTTTCCCTCATCACTATCGCTTCTCGCGCAGTGGATTGTTGCCCATACCAACAATTCCCGAAACTCCGCATCGTCTTGCGCAGCAGCATCAGCAACAGCCTTTTGGGTTGAAGAGAAACTCCCGCGCCCAGGGTATTTAAACTCCCTGTCAAAACGGGTTTCTCCTTGCAAGCAGAAAGCTTGGGAATTCCCGCAGCTGGTTTGGTTGGAGACTCAACCTACCTCGATCCGATCGCTATCCGTGGAACCGGAGCTCCAGTCGACCCAGCTGCATTAGGGCCAGACGCTGCTCTCCAGATCCAACCCTTTCCCTGTGCGAGGATTTGGGAAAAAGGACGGGCCCGTGCTCGCTGTCGATCCGGCTCGCCCAAGTCTGGTAGTAGCCCTTAAACTCAGAAGGAGGGGGGCGCTTTAAACTCGCGCCATCGGCCCTCTTCTACGGTTCAACCATCACCGTCAGCTCTCTCGACTTGTCATTCTCTCACCTTCGCACCAGAGGTTCCCACTCCTCGTCTTCCCCCCAAAGGTTATTTGCCTCCCCCTCCCTGCTTTTCTGGAGTCCCCCGATTCACTCCCTTTTTCCCCCTCCCTCCCCCCATCCCATTCATTTTTTAGCTCGGGACATCGTCCTAGCTTTTTCTGCAACGGCCGATAACAAAGAAAAGAAATTCTGACAGCCTGTCAGGCGGGATTGTTCTGATCCTATTCACTGCTATTCTTCCTCTGCTTGGTGTCGAAACGCCAGTGTCACCCTGGCCAATCCGTCTAGCCGAGTTACTGGGAAACCTTGATCAACGGTGGTGTTAACCTTGATTGATTTTACCTCTTTGCCCCCCTTTCAACTAGGTTCGAACCTACAAACAAACGCAAAACAATGGTCAACGGCACCGCTACGGTGTTGGAGCCCACCTTTACGGGATACGTCGCGACAACACAGGATGCGCTGATTCTCTTCGAGGCTTGTCTGACGGGAGTGCTGCACCATGTGCCCCGTCGGCCCCACGATCGCGAACGTGGTCACCTGGTCCGCAGTGGCAGTGTGTTCATCTACGAGGAGAATTCGTCGGGAATCAAGCGATGGACGGATGGAGTGACCTGGAGTCCCAGTCGAATCCTGGGCAACTTTCTCGTCTACCGCGAACTGGAGAAGCCATTTCCTCCCGGCGAAAAGAAGCGAGCGATGAAGAAGGCCAATCGACGCCCGGTGCCTTCGACGAGACCTGGGGAGCCGTATCCGCGACAGGACAGCAACGGCGGTTATTCGCCGTCTTCGACACCCGGTCAGTATCCTGGAGACCGACCACACCAGTCGGACGTGGAGAGAGCGTTGGTGGGCTCGCTGGTGGACTCGTATGGCTTCAAGGATTCAGGACTCGTGAAGAAGACGATGAGTGTGACGGTTTCGGGGGTGACACACCACCTGGTCTCGTATTACAGCGTGGAGGACGTGATGCGCGGGCTGTTGAACCCGCCATCGATGGTCGACTCGCTGCGGTACATTCGGCCTCGTGCAGAGCTGACACAGAAGCAAAGCTTCCGGGCACCCATCGATGACTTGGAATCAGGAGGTTTAGAGAACCCGAACGACCCCCATACGATCTACGGATACCGACCTCAGTTGGTAGCACCGCCCGGGTATGCGATCCCCAATCCTCATCCCGAATTCTATATGCACCCCGCGCCGTATGCTGCTACGCATGCTCCGCAGACTGCGGCCATCCCGGGATACTCGATGGCAGGGTCGATTTCGGCGCAGCCAGCTTCCAACCCGTATCTCCCCGCGCCGTCTGCACCTACCCAGATCCCGCAGAAGCCAGACGACTACTCTCAATTCCGGACACCCACTCAGTATGGAACGAGCTTCGATGCTCTGGGTCACAATGCGCTGTCGTCTTCGATCCCTTCTGCACTCAACACGGGCATTCCGAGTTCCTTGAGCGATCGCAACCGATCCCAGTCGGACCACAGCCCTTCGGCCTATCGCAATTCGTCAATATCCTCACGCAGCGTTGCGACCGACGCGACCTCGCCCATCGATCCGGCCACGCCGGCCACATATTCACGGGGAGGAAGCTTCAGCCTGGGTCCGCTTGATGGTCCGCATCAACCACTGGAACAGCGTGGCATGTCTGCGTTTGATCCTGGCATCCCGCGCCGGGAGTCGAACCCGATGCATGCGCCTTATTACCCGGGCGCAGACCGGCATCCGTACTACGTGAGCGCTACCGCACCAGCAGCTCATGCCAATTACCCCGTGTCGACATGGGCAGCGGCTGCTGCTCCGGCGCAGCCTCAGATATGACTCTGAATTCTCCAACGACCATAACTTGTGGTTTTACCCTCGCTTTAACTTTGTTTCTCACACCCCCCTCTTTATTTTCTTCCGTACGAATTTTATTTTTCTGTTGTTTCTCAGAAGGGCGGCAATTTGGGAATAGACTATGCATATACGCTGTGGATGAATACCCGGGTGGGAAAACGCTCTTAGAGGAGACATGGGTGGCTTTTTCCTTGTTGCTGCTGCTTCTGTTACCCCTACGATGATACGATGTCGATCAAAATACCTTCTTTTTTTTTATATTTTTATTAGCCTGTTCGCGGGTAGTACCCTGGGGGGTTTTCTGGGATTTATTCTGTGTTTTCGCTGTTTGGTGGTCTATGATTTGTTGCGAGTGTGGATTGGTTTTCTGTCTTTTTCATGCGATTATGAGCAATGGGACGGTTTTGGGTGGCATGGTTCTGGGGCGGCTATCTGTCAACACTTTTGTTTTTGTTTTGTTGTTCGTGCTACGTGCTACTCTACGTGATGCTCATTGCTTTTGTGTCTGTGTGCTTGGTCCGCTATCATCATATCCTTAGTTGTTACATATGGGAGAAACCATGGGTTCTTAGTGGTGTACATGGAAACTATTTGACGAGATGATCCCATCGGTGATGCATACAACCAATCGATCGATCAATCAACAATCAATCAATCAATCCTGGGTTTCAAGCTGATTTTGTTCTTGGCAAATATTAATGGGTTGTGGTTGTGGTTCGATTTGATGCTACGGAAGGGCTTCTTCTTGTCATGTGCGGGAAGGATAAGTTGGTGATATCATCAATTATCATCTCATCACATCATTGTCGGGGTCTAGACATGACTGATTATCCAATGGATGATTATTCATTCGTTTGGTTTATTGATTGATCTATGAGAATGCAGTAGTTTACTATAGCCACAATTTTCTTGAGTTATAGGCATATAACTTGTATGGTCAATCTACAATCAATCAGTCAATCAATCAATCGGTTAGTGGGTGACTACTGATGCATACGACTCTTCTTCCTGATCTTAGACATGGAAGAAAAGCCACTTGATATCTCTAATGGTCTAGACCAGGTAGTATACTAGTAAGTGTTGAAAAAAAAACAAGGAACTGAGTAGTAGTGAGAAGAAAGAGAAGGTACATAGTGGATTGGATTGTAATAAGGTAGTAGTAGTAGTAATCAAGATCGAGGCGATCGATCGAATCGAATCGAACCGAACCGGGAAGTTTAAGGCAGTGGTAGTAGATAGTATGGGTGGATGTGGATGTGGGAAATGGGTGAAGAAGTTTAATGTCACGGTGACACTTGACACTTGACACTTTGCTTTTGGCTATCTCCACAACTTACCTCCACTTCTTACTTACAAGGTGATCTAGACCAATTACTGTATTTCTCTCTCTCTCCATTTCCACTCACCAATATATTTGAGGCTTGTTTATTATGTGCTGACTTGATTATTGGAATAAATGTGGACTCTGTATATTATCTGGCTCATCTCTGACTCCAATAATAATGATGATAATAATGAGTTCATTGCAGGTTCTTAATAAGTACTTGTAAGTTTGTAAGTTTGTAACTATGTAACTGTGTAATTTATGTACTTGCTATATCCTTTTCTCTAAAAATCAGTATGCTAACACCTGAACAGCTCTCATAAATATATATATATAATCTAATACAGAATATATTGTTAGTATTTTAGTAGTATTTAAATTCAACTGGGTTCAGGTAAATGTTCGCCTTTATACACATCATGATTTGATTGTATGTGTGTAAACTACATGTGGTAAGGTTTGATTGTGCTAGATAATCTTAGGTGGTAGTCTAGTCTGTAGAA